TTTGCGCACAAAAAGTATTCTCGTAGCTTCGTAAAATTACGGTTGAACCCCTGATGTCACATGGGCTATTTTACCGATGTCCTTGCTACGTTTCTGTGCATTAATCATGGTAATATCATTGCTGTCTATGGAGGGTCAGAGCTTTCAGATTCCATCAAAAATATCTTAATTTGTGTTCCGAAGATGAACGAAGGTCTTACGAGTTTGGATCGACATGAGGGTGAGTAATTAATGACAGAATTTTCATTTTTGGGTTAACTAACCCTTTAAGATAAAATGCAGATCCAGTATTCTGATACACGTGTTTTCTTTCTCAATTGTTTACGTTAAGATATAATCAAGTGAGTATATGTGAACATTTGAAGGCTGTTTCCAATAAAAATATTCTTCCTTGAGTTCATTTATGGAAAACAGTGTGGAAAAAAAATCCTGATTATTTTTTGTAATGTCTTGATGATACAAAAGAAATCAATAGAAATCAGTGTATGCCTATTCCTACCTGAGCTGCTGTAGACTGGTGCAGGTCTGGACAAGAGAAATTATCCCAGAAGCCCAGCTCTCATTAAAGCTGGCCACCTTCAGATTCAACTTTTTCAGACCGCCAAAGTAAAATGAAGACAGCAGCAAACTGACAAACTCATCAAGAGCTGAAGAGCTGCAAAAATTAATTGTTACATGTATGAATTAAAGTAAAGCTACTGATGAGACAAATAGCCAATTGAATTGAATAGCCAAATTAAATGAATAATTTCATTACTCTTCAGCAAATTGTCCTGCCTTGCTAAGTTTCTGCAAGAAGAGTGACCAGTCAGTGCTGGATATCTCTGATTGTGGACACGTAAGACTGATGTTTAAGACTGTTGGAAATGATGGATTCTTCTCTGAGGTGCTCAAAGACAACCTGAAACAGACAGAAATAAAGAGAAAAATTTGATAACAGCATTGTATACTCAATATGAATGATTTTGGTTGTGTTCTGAAACATATTATGCTATTTTATTAGTTTAAGTACAGTTTAATTGTAAAAAAGAAAAAAAAAGTTAATTACAGGTAATCTTCCTGTGCAACAGACAGGTCAAGTGACCACCTGGGACTCTCACCACTGTATTCATCCTCCTGAACTCTACAAGTCAGAACAAAAACACTAAATATTGGTATTAAAAAAAAAGTTAAATAAAAAAATCACAATTTATAGAACACTTTAAAATAGCATTAGCTATGACCGTTTAGAGATGAAAAAGTTACAGTACTTCAGTTCCTTCAATGATTTGAATTCACAGAGAGTCTTGATCAAATCTCCAAATTCAGGCAGATGGTCCACTGACAACCTATAATAAAAAATATATCATTCAGATCTAAATTTTATATTATTGCTTATGTAGAGGAATTCTCACCCTCTCTCAGACACACTTATGGAGTTAAAAGGGCCCTTTTTACTGGCATGACTTTTAAATTTTCTGTGTAAACAACATTCTATGAAAACACACATTTCCAAATATAGTATATTATAAATTTTAAATGCCTGATCCTTCGATAATATGGTCTTTTTTCTTCAATGAGGCTGTTTTCATAGTACAGTTAACTATTTTATCTCAAAATATCAAGGACATTTTGGTTGTTCATCTTATGACCCCTCAATCCAGCAATATATAAACACTTATGATCATACTTATGCACAGGTAAGTATTTACTGTACATCACACAAACTGCTCTGCAAACACACTGACCTCAGAGTCTCACACATACAGAGTGCTGGCTGAAGAATCTTGAGTTTCTCAGCTGTTAAATCACAGTACATGAGGTTCAGGTATCTGATGTGTGGACAGCACTGAAGACAGTACAGCAGCACCCAGCAGTCTGTGCTCCTCAGAGAAATGTTAGACAGATCCAGGGATACCCAATCTCCTAAAGCTCTCCTCACAAACTCCTCATCCTGGAGCTCATACAGACACTGGAGAGCAAATAGTTTATCTTCATCCTGAAGTGTAAGGATTGTGCTCTCCATTTCTTTTCTTATGATGTAAGGAACAGTCCAGTTGTGCTTTTCAAAGAGTGAGTTGCTTGAGTCTTCATTAGAGAGACCACAGAGAAACAGAAGCACTGAAGCGATGGAATTTGTTAGTCTACCTTTCACTCTCTCAGCAGTTAAGATGTCTCTGATGTTCCTCTGGGACTCTTCTTCATTCAGAAACATATAATAAAGAGCCATGAAGAACTCCTGAAAGCTGAGGTGCATAAACTTGAGTGCTCTTTTCCTTAAATCTTGAATATCAGATTCATGCAGGAACAGGCTACTTTCAGCATCTAAACCTGTCTTGAACACGGCCTTCTTGTCAAAGAAGACTTCTTCATCCAGTATCCCTTCCTCTGCCAGCTGACCCAGACTCCTGAGGACAGACTGACTCTGATCATGATGCTCCAATAGAGTGGACACAAACTGCACATAAATGGAGGTGGTTGTCTTTAGTTCTCTCATCACATGATCATCATCTGTATAGTGTTTCTTCAGACAAAAACAGACCATCCAACACAGCAAAGGCACAGAGCAGGCAGTCAGGAGGCTTTCATTTGTCTTCAGACTCTCATATGTTTTCCTGAAGAGCTGCTCATCCTGAAAGAACTTCTGGAAGTACTCCTGCACCCCTCTCTCAGAGAAGCCCACAATCTCAGTGGCTGGCTGAGGACCCTTGAGGAGATTCATCACTGTACCAGCATCTGATCTGGTGGTAACCAGCAGGAAAGACTCAGGCAGGATCTGTCCATTCAGCAGACTCCTGAGAATGTCCATTGGTAGAGCTTGCTGCGATGATTTAGTGGGTGATGATATTTGAATATGTGGATCGAATGAGAACTCATCAATTCCATCAATGAGGATGAGGACTTTATCTGGTGTTAACTCTAGTATCTGTGAGATCTGATATGTTATGCTGTAACTCCAGCTCAAGAGCTGAATCAAACTCATCTTCTGGGAAAGACACTTCACCTCATCAGCATCGTAAATCCTTGAAATGTTTTAATATTTGTATTTTTTTGAAAAATGTATGTACATTTATAACATTATTCTTTGTATTATATTACCTCAGCATCAAATTACAAAAAAAACTTGTTTACGCTAATGCGCGGGTGTTTCTAATGCAGCGTCTATGGGAGGGATGGTACATTTGACATCGTTCTCTCTTCTGACTGCCGTTATTATCAGTCTCTCTCAATTATTTTCCTTTTATTGAAAGTCATATTGGAGCAAATGGGAATGCAAAACATAAACTCTTTAAGTTAACCCAACTATGACGACTTCCGCTGCTGAGAAATGTAAAAAAGATCTATTCAGAGCGTTTTTGAATGCCTTTAAAATTACAGGTACTGTAGCAAACAGGGTTCAGAAATTCAATTTGAATTGTATTGAATGAAAATAGAAATAAAATCAATTGTAATTAAAGAAATTAATGCTGAATTCATATACCGAGAAAGGTAACAAATGAACAGATAGATAGATAGATAGATAGATAGATAGATATTCAGATATTTACCCAGGTAACAGAGCAGGTGTGGTTCATGCTTCCTCAGAGCAAAATAAAAGGCAGATTTCACTTTATTCCCTCCTTCATCCAGTGCGGTATAAAGCTCTGTCATTTGCTCACGGTTGGTTGGTGCTCTCCTAATCCGTGTATATGTCTGATCATTGAGCTCGTGTTGTGCCAGCAGCTCATCCATCACTGGCATCACCATTGTAACTCTCTGGATGAGCTCAGACCTGTTCCTATCTACAAACTGGGCTTCTGGAGATGACAGCATCAGGGACATATTATTACCTTGTTTTCTCAAAATTATTGAAAGTTTCAAGCATTTTCACGTACAAAGTAGATCAGTGATGAAGCATTTACACTTACGTTTCAGGAATGGATCAATTCGAAGAGCAATACAAGCTGGTTCAAACGAATAACCTATTAAGGAGAGAAGGAGAGAGATACATTTACTTCAGAGTGTTAAGCATAACCAATATAAAGTGTATTAAGGGATGATATGGCACGTTTCTTTACTTATATTCTTGGTAAACTTTTGGATAGATTATTTTCTGTGGTGTCTTTACCCAGGAAAGTAAGGTCTGGTTCACACTTCCTCAGTGCAGCGTAAAACGCAGATTTAATTTCAGCTCCTCCTTCATCCAGTGCTTCATAAAGCTTTCTCATTCTGTCCTGTTTGGTCCCAGCTCTCCTGATCTGTGAATATGTCTCCACATTGATCCTGCCCTCTGACAGCAGATTGCGTGTCACCACCATCACTCTCTGGACGCTCTGGATGAGCTCAGCCCTGTGCGTGTCTACATATCGGGCCTCTGGAGAAGAAGACATGAAGAGATTATTTCCCATCTCCAAATGATTAAAGCCTTTTTCTAAACATTTACAACATAGATTTGTGATTAAAAGTAGGTTGTGCAAAAAAAAAAATAAATAAATAAAATAAAAAAACTTTGATCATTTATACTCACTCATGTCATTTAAAGGCTGTTTTATTATCTTGAGGAACACAAAAGAATATGTTAGGCAAAAATGGTACTTGAATGGCTTTTTGTAGTTTGCTAGGGTTGATAAATGGACGGAATCTTCGTTTTGGTTTTGAACTATTAATAAATGTAGAATAATAAAAATGCAGGAGACAAAGTTACAAATAGCCTATAGTCTAAATTACACACTCAGTCCAGGACCAAACAGTGGTTTGTAGTTACTTATAAATGAGTTTTTGCTATAAATGTGGAATGTAGCTTTATTTGTAGAAGGATAATTACGTGGTAACAGGGTTGTGTGCAAAATGTAGGACAGAGCTAAATTTGACATTTTTGTAAATAATAAAATTCCCATGAAAATCAAAAATATGGTACAGACATATTGTCCATACAATATAGATATACTTGCTTTTAAAATCAGTTACATTTGATGCTGCTGTTAAGATTTTCAAACATATCTAGTTCTCCCTCTCTCTCCTACACACACACACACACACACATGTTTGTTTTTGTGAAAAGTGGGGACATCCCATAGGCGTAATGGTTTTTATACTGTACAAACTGTATGTGCTATTGCCCTACACCAACCCTACCCCTCACAGGAAACTTTGTGCTATTTCATATTTTCAATACACTCCATTCTGTGTGATTTATATGCGTTTTGAAAAGTGGGGACATGGGGTAATGTCCTGAAAAGTCACCTTCTCCTTGTAATACCTATGTCATACCCTTGTCATTATACAAATTTATGTCCTCATTTGTCACAAAAACGCGCGCACACATACACACACACACACACACACACACAAACAGATGTAAGCCTGCTTTTAAAAAAAAGACAGTGGGCATAATCTCAATACCCTTGTGATAATGAGTTGCAATCCAAAGAAAAAATTTTCAGTCCATTCGCAGCACATGAACTGAACAAAAGTGGGACAGAGTAAGACGTAACTTTATTAAATAATAAATCAAAACCTATTGTTAATAACGCAGTTTTTTCTCGTTTTGTTCTCAATGCACTCGCTTATGCTAACAAGAATTTCCGATATAACGGACGCGATGCTCGAGTCCTGCAGAAAGTGCGCGTGCTCAGTTTGAACATCAAAGTCAAGGAGGAGACTTGAGCGTTTAAAACTCAATATAGGCTACAACAAATGTTCTACCCTTACCGTGATCTGACATCGCGTCCAGCCTATAGAACATCCAACATCGAAGTCCAAAGGAACATATATTTCCTCGGTGCTGGGTTTCCGTGAGTGTAGAATATATTTTCCAGGATGGGTGTGGTCAGTTTTGCCAACTTGATTTTCAGGGGAAGTTGCTAAAGGAAGGTCGATTTGTTGCTAAAAGTTGCTAAATGACGCCTATTACGTAATCACGATGCAAAATTGTGTCACAAATATCAGCAAAAATATATTTGATACATGTTAATTTAGATTTGTTTGTTAAATAATATAAATGAATACAGTGTTGCCAACTAATTTTCAGGGGAAGTTGCTAAAGGAAGGTCGATTTGTTGCTAAAAGTTGCTAAATGACGCCTATTACGTAATCACGATGCAAAATTGTGTCACAAATATCAGCAAAAACATATTTGATACATGTTAATTTAGATTTGTTTGTTAAATAATATAAATGAATAATATAATGAAATATAAATAACTAATTATAAATACAACATTGAATTATTGAACACTTACACGTTTTTTAACGATTAGTTAAAGTTTTTTTATTAGATAGTAAATAAAACGCACCCAATTACAGTTTTAAGTGTATTAGTAGTTAGTATGCTACAGAAAAGTCAGTAAAAATAGGGCACAATCTACTTATGAAGGAATTTTCCGTATTGATTTTTCACAGGTTTTTTTTTTTTTTACATGCATTTTATTAGATTATACATTATATTTTGTGTTTTGGGGTTACAGGGTTGCAACGAATAATGGATAGGCCTAATGGATAATGTCCTGGAAAATTACTAGTACCTTTTACATTTTTCTAGATATTTTTCTTACATTGTACTAACTGATCAACAATTACAGTTACAAGCTACTAACAAGGTGTATCATAAATGAACAAGTATTCAATTATTATTAAACAATTGCAGATAGCAGCTAACTTAATTCACATAATGTGTACTGCTAGGCATCTTTGGTTTCCTCTTTTTGTGTAATTTAGATGGAAAATGTGTGCCTTTTTATAGTTTGAAGCACTTATCAAAAGTTGCTTAAAGTTGCCAAATACATTTTAAAAATAGCTACATCTGTTGCGTGCTTTGGAAGAGAAAGTTGCTGGGGTAGTCAGAAAAGTTGCTAAATTTAGCAACAAAATTGCTAAGTTGACAACACCGGGTGACGTGGTGGTTTAACAAATTTAGGAACATCCGGAATAATGCAGAGAAAACAGAGGAAGTGAACTTTTGAGTAGTCTTCACATTGGCACTTTTAATGTCTTTTAATTAATTGTTTTTATAATATCTGGCTTTGTTAAAAATGTCAAATTATAATATCAGCAAAAACATATTTGATACATGTTAATTTAGATTTGTTTGTTAAATAATATAAATGAATAATATAATGAAATATAAATAACTAATTATAAATACAACATTGAATTATTGAACACTTACACATTTTATAGAGAGGGGGAGACCGGGGATGGTTGTAACACAGGTCAGTTGTAACACTTCCAGCTTCCCAAATAAGGAACAAGTTACAAATCACCTATAATTCACTTCACACATTCTCAGTTTTGTCCTTATTCCACATGTGAGGAAGTAGAGCCCTGTGGCAGACAGCAGGTTTTAGAGGAGAAAAACTAATTTAGAGGTATAAAAAAAAAGTAACTTTTTATGCTTCATTTATTTTTGTGGTGGCAGTCCCTGCTTTGTAGTTAAACTCACAGTTCATGAATTACAGTTTAAGTCACTTCCTTGTTGGCTTCACGAGAGAGAGTGGGAGGTTGCCGCCTGATATTATCCTAAAGCCTCTGCTAAGATGTACAAAAAGGCCTAGCAACACAGCAATCACTAAAACAATATTATAGTAATATTAATTACTGATATTAATATAAAAAAAGTGGAGTTTTTAATACTGAGCTGGTCATTAGGCTGATTTTAGTTTCAACTGGTTGTCTTTGTAAAAAGGAAGTAGGTATGCTGTTGCCAGGTCTGTGTGACAGTTTCTCATTTCCATTCAAACCAAGTTCTTGTATCAAATCAAACTGAAATAAAATCTACAAAGTCTCTAGTATCCAATGTATAATCAAAAGGTATGGTCAAAAAAGCAACCTCAATTAATGCAAAAAGAATCCAAAGAAGAAAGCTGTACTGTTATTCAAACACACTTTGGTCAAAGCTAGTTTTATTATGATTATTATTAATCAGAATATTTTTAAATTATACACCGTATGTACTGTATGACAAACATAGATTTACAAAGCCCATTATGAAGGCAATACTAAAGTCTGATTTTGTGGTGGATGTGTTCAAATTTTATCATCTTAATTGAAGTGAAGGATTTTGAAAGTCTGACAGTAATCAGTGTTGAGCACTACTGTACGGTTAATCCTGCATGGTGTAAATGTTTGAAAATTATTAACATTTGAAAACATTCATTAGAAATTTAGAAAAGTAATCAGTTACATTACTTTAATAAAGTAATTGAAAAAGTTACACTACTATTACATTTTAAATAGGGTAACTTGTCATCTGTAACCTATTACATTTCCAAAGTAACCTTCCCAACACTGAATACAATGTAGAATCATCAAGCAAAAAAGGTTAAGAGTCAGGTAAAGGCAGATGGCTTAAAAGTTCAGGATCTTCTTCCAGAAGAATCACTGTCTCTACCTTTACGCACTATGCTGCAGATCCTTCTCATGCTGGCTTCACTGGTTAAATTATAATGTGTGATTTCAGAATATATTTCATTGTTTGTCTGCAATGGCGGTAACGTTCTTAACGCTTTTAATAAGATAACACCAATTAAAAAATTAAAAAAATAAAAACTTTATCAAAGTTGAAGCCATTTGTGGTGTCTTATGCTTTTGTCCAGTTTGAAACAAAGTCTCAGCCCTGTTTGGATGCACATTGATAAATTTTTTTTGTGCCTCACAAAATAAAAAAATCCTATCAGTTTTCTGGAAAACTTTGAACTCCTTTAACTGCATTTTTAGCATTCATTCATGTTCAAGTGGCTGCATCTTGCATCTGTTGTCTTCTCACGTCTGTTTCTGTGTCGTAGTTGCAGGGGTCGTCTTCTGTTTCTTGAGTGCAGGGGTCTTCATTCTTGAAGAAAAAAATTAGATCACTAACTTTTAAGACTACTCTAAGCAGTTTATCCAACCAGCACTCTCTCTGTGTGTGTGTGTGTGTGTGTAAGTGAATGCTGGAAAGTATTCCAGGTGTTCATCTGGATATGCAGGAAAGTCATTATTTGTGTGTCGTTTGTGTTTGTATGTGCATGTTATGTAGCTTATGTGCGAGTGATAGAGAGAAGGTAATAGAGAAGGAAATTAGTCAACATTTACTTAAAAAGGGGAGATACCTGAAATTGAAAGGGTTTCTATTAATCCATAAAATTACAATTTTGTTATGTTATGGCAAGCTTTTACATCAATGTTGTGATAATGACAGCATGCTGGGGGACATGTGGCTGCTTTTTTTCCAGGAAGGATGAGAGGCTAATTGAGCATGTGTGTAGTATGCATGTGCAGTATCATTACTGTAGCTCATTCCTGATAGAAGGAATAAGCCAAGTTGCAACAGACCCTTGTTGCAACCGTTTCCACTCTCCCTCTACTTATTGGTGTGTTCTAAACTTTAATCTCAAAATACATTTGACTAAATAATATATTTATGCAGCTTTTTGCACTACAGGAATGCACAATACTGTCTGCTGAGCACCCAGGACAGAATATCAGCAATCTGTACAAAATTACAAATTAGCTTTGGTCTTAAGATAAAACATTACTGCAAGTGTTTGACATATATACTAAAACAGTATATAATATGCACATGACAAAAGGGTGCACTCACTGTGTAGCTGATTCTTCAGATATAGGCTGCTCATGTTTTCAGTTGTCACCACCTGTTACCATCAAACGCAGGACAGGTTATATTAGTGTACCATACAGGTAGGTTTAGGTTTATAAACTTATTTAATTAACACCAACTGTAGATTCTCTTACCCAAGTCTCTGAAGAGGTATGGTTCATGATTTCTCAGAGCATAATAAAAGGCATTTTTCACTCTGTGTCCTCCAGCATTAAGCGCTTCAAAGAGCTTTCTCATTTTGCCCTGGTTGGTTTGTTCTGCTCTGATCTCTGAATATTTTTCATCATGTATCATACCCTTATTTTTTAGCTCATCTGCTATTGCCATTACTAAGGTAACCCTCTGAATAAGTGCTGCATAGTTCCCATCCACAAATTGGGTCTCTGGAAAAAAAGAAAAGAAATGGGTTTCATTGGAACTTTTACTCATCATGCAAATGTTTACATGAAGGTAATATTATAATAACTCAAGTTTTTTTTTTGTACAAGGCATAACAGAAAATATGCAAGAAAATTTTTTTTTTTGAGTATTGAGATCTCAAAAATACCCAAGACATGTACATGTTCTCCCACTCAGGCTTTTCTATTTACATTTCTTTATGCAAGTACTCTTTTGAGCAAACAGTCCTGTTCTCAAACAAGCCAAACTGACCTGAGCAGAACAGAGTGAAGTAGCCTTTGCTTAATGACATATTTTTCTACTATACTACAGGAACATGCAGCATCTGAGAACTGGTGTCTACATCATTTATGTCAATTCACATACAAACATAGTTTATCCTAATAGCACAGACACAGCTGAAAAACTTCTCCAAAACTATAAGGACAGACAGATATAACCTTTGGGTGGATTCCGCTCCTCTTCTTCATGGCTGCGCTCACCTAACCTGCAAAACCCACAAATATAAAATACAAAAAATCTATTAAGATTTTAATTAGTGTGAAGTTGTTGAGATCTACTCATTTCAACGCTTTGCTGTCCCACATAAATGAGGCGAGTTCCAATTTGAGAAAACAACATCAATTTAAGGTAAAGCACAATATGATGGTCCAAGTTGCAAACCCATCTGGCAATAGTGTGATTAATGCATGCCATGTTTTAATCAAAGATTTATCCAGTGCCCACAAATAGGGTACAATCATTTATCTTTTTGAAAAGAAATTAAACTATAAAATAAATTGACCTAAACCATGATGAACTGGGTGATACATTAAAATGAAGTTAAACACTGCAGTTCAACACCTGTAGTTTTTAATTAATATATTTTCAGTTCAGTTCACATATCAGTTCTATCTTACATTTTATAACTAAATAGCAACATTGTTGGCATCTTTTCAAAGATAACTAACATGATTTCATGATACAGTATGTTGGCTGGCTATCGAGAAAAATTAAGCATCTGCAATCATACCATTTGAATACACTGTAGTTCTCATACTATCCTGACTGGTCAAGCTATTCTGTTCAGTTTATCTGCAATGCTCTTCACATTTTTAGCCTTTTTTAAGTCTTTTGTGTGAGAGCTTATCAGCGTTTAAAAAAAAAAAAAAAAGAACTTTATCAATATCAGAATTCAGTTGCGGCTCATCTTGGACTTACATTGGATTTAACTGGCCAAATTCTTCTTTCCATATTGTGGCAGTCCACACAGACTTCCTGTCTTCCTCTCTGATAAGATTCATTTGTATGGGACCATCCTGATGTTGCCTGACCTTGAAGAAGTTTGGGTCAATATCAGTTCTAAATGAAATCCCCTCTATGGGATGGACAGATGCACCAGGAACCTCAAGAAGGTGAGGCGTTTTCAACCGAAATGGTCTGTCAGGTCTGGGATGGCTGATCAAAAGACTTGATTTTTCATGCTGCTCAACTTTTTCTTTTGAACAAGTGTCATTCATTGGAAAAAAGTAGATGTGAAGAAAGAGAGGTTCTTTACACCGCATGTAGAGAAGAAGATCACAGTGTTCTTCCCACTTTATGAACCAGCTTATGATTAGAGTTATGAGAGAGAAGGATGGTTGGACCATTTTGGCATGATAACGGGTCAGCTCTACAGATTGTAAAGATATTCCTTCATCGCTTTTGCTGAGGACCTTCACAGCCTCTGTGAGAGAGGGGTCTGACTCTGCCAAACAGGCGTAATGAGGCAGATGGGCCTCCTCCAGTTTCCCTGAGATCACGGTCACATCAATCACAGGACCAATCCGCTCACACTGAAGTCTCTCCAGATCTGCTCTGAGGAAACGTCCATCCACTGCACGGTACTGGAGAGTGACGTCACCAGCACAGACCCATCGCATTCTGGTCCTGCTGCACTCGAATCGACCCGCCGGAGTGCTGATCCTGAACTCTGAGCCTCCTTCATCTGTACAGACTGACGGCTCCACCTGAACCCACTGATCAGAGTCAACAATGTGAACACAAGACTGACACACTGGGAGCGGCTGAAGATTCAGTCCAGATGGTTCAGAGTCAGAGATGGTTGGCCTACAGACAGAATGAAATATATACAGTGGCAACAAAAAGCATTTGGACATTTTTAGACACTGTTAGATCTTGCCGACAAGCTGTCAGAATTGAATTAGATCCTGACAGTTAAAGAAAATATCTGAATTCCATTGCATAAAAAAAATAAAATAAAATATAAAAATATATATATATATATATATATTTAAAGATATGGCATCTGAAAACAAACGATGATAAAGCTAAAAACTAATTTTTGTATCAGTAAATGCATAAAAAGTTAAATCCACAGATATTGAGCACATACATACATACCCTTCAATGATCACAAGTGTGAATCGGCATCTGAAAACAAACGATGATAAAGCTAAAAACTAATTTTTGTATCAGTAAATGCATAAAAAGTTAAATCCACAGATATTGAGCACATACATACATACCCTTCAATGATCACAGAGCAGTGTGAATCTGTCAGTGATTCATACAGTAACTCGAGTCCCACCTCCAGCAGCAAACCAGTGGCACGGACACTACAATACAACATTTTAGCAATGTAATCAAAGACCAATTAGCAAATAGTTGTCACAATAATCAGAGCTGGTCCAAACATTGTCATCAAGATTATAGATTGGCGTCCCCCCACCCAAAAACTCACATTGGAATCAAACTGGCAACACACTGGACTCAAATTTACTGCAGAAAAATAAAGCATTTAAATGTATATTATAAAAATGTAAATATGAGGTAAATAATGTGTGACAAATAAATTTAGCAAACACAAGTATACAAAATATAAACAGGCAAAATCGTACTCAACTATTGGTAAATTTTGGAACACCAAAGCGCAACATTGTAAGATAGTGCCATCCATGTTTCTCTAGAATATCTATGCAAAAAAAAAAAAAAAAACTGAACTGTTTCAAAACTGCACGTCTTCAGAAGATCAAAACCATAAAACTGGTAGCCAGAGAGAACACTCAGAAATGCAGTGCAACAACATGCAAGACATCACAGAGAATGTGTGAAAACACAGAAACACAGGCCTTATACAGGCAAAGTTAACAAGGTTAATGAGAAACAGCTTAAAGTATTTAGGCATAATAAGTCATAATAAGCAGTGGATTATTGGAAATGCTGTCCATGATGAGATAAAGACAGGAGTGCTCTCTGGTGGCTATCAAAGGCAATCCAACTGGCAATTCGTGACAGGACACAACACTTTCTGTAGAAATTAAGAAACATATTTGGCAAGCCAATTACTCATAATTGAGTAATCCAACATTGACTGGCTTTGTTCCACGTCTCAGTCTTACCAGATTTCTTGCAGACTGCTGCAGGCCTGGATGAGAGCGAGAATCCTGAGAGCCCAGCTCTGATTCAGACTGAAGATGATCAGCTCCACACTCTTCAGATCACACACAGAGTGCAGGAAAGTAAACAGAGCATCCGCTTGCTCATTACACTCTGGAGAACTGCAAAGAAGCACATAAATATAACTATATAAAAATCATGTCAAACACAAGTGACCAAATATCTTAACTGGTCATTTAACACTTGCCTAGTGCATAAACTAATTGTTGTCCACTCACATTTTAAACAGAAATAAATGAATAGTGAGGCATTTACTGTAAAATGTTGTACATGCACATCATGGCTAGTAGGGGTGTAAATCGGACGTTTCATCACAGTATGATATAATATCGATTCTCATACCCAGTGATACGATATTTGCAGATACCTCAAAAAATTCTAAGATACAATTACCATATGATTCAACTCAGAAGTATACTGATCGATTTATCGATATTATGATATTATATGCCTATTTTACACAAACAGTTACAGTTTTATTAACTCACAAATGCATCCAAAATATATAACATGAATATTTATCTGAAATTTACACATCCTGTACCCCAACTGGAATATTCACAACAACAAAAAAAACAATTTTTTTTTTAAATAATAAAGAAAAATAAATAAATGGATAAAGTCAAGTCACATGAGATCAGAAAACTTTTTGACATGACAACAGTCAAGAAAGTCTTTCAGTCTGTGCTAAAATGTGCAATGAATAAAATATAGTGTAAATCCTCATTAGGAAACAACAAAAATTAGGTAGATATAGGGGGGGGGGATTACAAAATAAATATACATTTATACAAATATATTTTTTTGGCTGCTACTATACATTGCAGTCTGGGTCACATGCAGACACGCAGGGCTAAGTGTTAAGTATCCTTTCCAAATTACAAGCAATAGCAGAAAATAAATACAAAGACACAAATGAAATCAGCAGTGCTTTTCAGGTTTTTCAGATAGGTTTCAGGTACAGAAATTAATAAAGTAATAAAATGTAAAATAGTCTTCATAGTCTTCACTGCATAAATTAAATATAGATTAATCCTTATTTGAGTTACAAACATTATTCAGTCAAAAGTAGTGAGATACAGTTTTTTTAACAGCATTAGGTTTATTATTAGTCAGCTTTCACTTTAAAGGTTTACTCCACCCCTATGTCGTTCCAAACCCGTAAAAGCTTCGTTCGTCTTCAGAACACAATTTAAGATATTTTGAATGAAAACCGGGAGGCTTGTGACTGTCCCATTGACTGGCAAGTAAATTACACTGTCAAGGCCTAGAAAAGCATGAAAGACATCATCAGAATAGTCCATCTGCCATCAGTGGTTCAATCTGAATGTTATGAAGCGACGAGACTACTTTTTGTATGTGGAGAAAACAAAAATAACGACTTTATTCAACGATTCGTCTCCTCCGTAGCACCATTTTGGAGAGTATCCGCTGGACGCAAATAGCGTATGCTGTTCTGTGTCAGCCGCACCACACGGATACGTTGTTTTAGTTCAAATCAAAGTGTAAATAAACGTAGAAAACGTATCCTTGTGGTGCGGCTGACACAGAACAGCGTACCCTATTTGCGTCCAGCGGATACTCTCCAAAATGGCGCTACAGACGAATTGTTGAATAAAGTCGTTATTTTTGTTTTCTTTGCGCAGAAAAAGTGTTGTCGTCGCTTCATTGAATTCAGTTTGAACCACTGATGGCAGATGGACTATTTTGACGATGTCTTTCATACTTTTCTGGACCTCGACAGTGTTATTTACTTGGCAGTCAATGGGACAGTCA